GTGTGCCCGAGGGCAGCTGGATCCCACTCTGCCAAGGCTGTGGATGGGGCAGGGATGGAGTCAGGCTGGGCAGGTTCTGTTCCTTGTTCTGCCAGTGGCTTCGTGGGTGACCTTGAGCAGGTTGCTATGTGTTCTGATTGCTCTGAGCCACAGAGAGCTGCTGGTGAGATGGGCCTGTGAAAGCAGTGGTTTAGTAATAGTGATTTTAGTAGTGTTTAGTTTTTCGATGTACACAGGAAAGCTTTTGTTTCAGATGCAAAAATAGAAGCCTGAGCTTTTCTCACTGTTGCCAAAATGCCTGCTGGTTACCTGCAGCACAAAGAACATGCCTATCACAGGCATCACAGTCTTCCTTTAGCAGTTCTCTGCAGCTTTAGTCCTAATGTTAAGCTTAAATTTCCCCCTGCTGTAATTTAGGCCTGTTATTTCTTGTCCTGTTCCATGTGGGCTTTGAGAACAAATTTGTGCTTCCTCATTGCAGCAGCCCTTGCACGTTTGGGTGGGAACCCTTGTGAAAACCTGAGTGTTATTTATCAGCTTCCTCCCCAGTTTACACCATTTGTGTTTGCATCCAGACATAAAACGTATTCAAAATATGGTCAGAGCCTGAAAATCAGGCCTCAGTAGGTGTTTTGGTTCAGCTCTCCCAAAGTGAAGGTATCTGCTGCTGTCACTCGTGTTTTTGAACATCAGAGCCACTCTCTAGGGGTCACTTTACAGCTCTGTTTAAAATACCCTTGCACCAGCCATAAAGACCTCTGTAGCAGCACCCAACTGTACCAGACAAAGCAAGAAGAATTCAGCATCTGCAGGTGAATCAAAAAGGAAAGACCAGGCCTGTACACTTGAGAGGGAAGCAGCAATGATAACAGCTTTCCTTTGTGACAAAAGAAGGTAATTTTATTGTTTGCAAGTGCAAATTACTGGATTGAAAATGCAAGTATACACTTCACAGAGACATGACTGTGCTCTGAGCCACTTTGGGTTTTTTTTTTCTGATCAGGCACTTAAAAGGCACGACCCCAAAATAAACACATGTCTGAACAATGGGGTGCTCTGCGTGGTAGTGGGAGGAATTCCACAGTGTCAGTGAGCTGTGTGTAAAATGGATGTAGAAATAGAGCTGACAGAACATTCCCCTTAGGTCCTACCAGTGGCCTGATTCTCCTGTGCATTTGAGCTGTTTTACACTGCTTTGGCTGTGCAGAGAGACCTTAAAACAGTGCAGTGAACTGCTGGCTCTCCTGGAGTGGAGGATTTCCCTGTGTGCTGGTGGCTGTGGGATGCCCAGGACTTCAAAGAAATGCCTGTGAGGAGGAGCAGCCTGAGCACTGGGAAGAGAAGGGGATAAACAATCGCTCCAGGATTGTTTTACAGCCCGAGTTCGAGAAGAGGAACGTGCAAGTCAAATAACTGCCTTTGTCAACATCACTGCCACTTTCTTTCTTGTTCTTGCTGCTGGTTGGAATAATAGCACTGGTGGAAGCAATTAATCTTCCCCTTGCCAGTTTTCCATGCACCCTATGCATGGGCATGGCTGTTTGACCCTGTGCTCACATATATTATGGTGTAATGTGTGGGACACTGGTGGCCTCCAGCCCTCCTCTGTTTTAACCCCTCTTTGGTAGTATTTTAAAACATACATTGGAAAGTGATTTTTATGGTTATCTTGGGATACATGTTTATAGACTTTAACACATTTATTGTCCTCTTGGGCCAAGGTTTTTCTAATCGGTCCAAGGTCATTGCTATGTAAATGGCCTGACCTAAGACAAGGGACCCGAAGGCAAACCTCTGGTGGTTGTCCAGAGGAGAGGGGAGCTGCCTTGGGCAGGAATTGCTCAGGGTTAGAACAGGGTTGGCTGTGATTTCTCCTGGGTTTGAGGATGGTATCATGTAGGTGCCACTTCCTGGACTTGCCTTGAAATAGGTTTTTCCCATCGCCGTGACCTGGGGAGCTTCACATCCTTCAGTGGCCCCATGTGCAGCAGAGCTGGGAACAGGCCAGTCTGCTCTGGTTTACACCTTGGGAAATGAGGCACACAGAGATGATAGCCTGTATCTCCAAAGGCTTTTGGGTCCAGAAATCCTTGAGGAAAGAGCCGTAGGGAATGGCCAAAGGGGACACAGAAGGTCTGGGATAGAGCTGAGGTTGAACCCAGACCTGTGCAGCCACCTTCAGCTGGCCCAGCTCCAAACAGTCTCATCTTTTAGGGGCTCAGACATTTGTGCACCTGAGAAAGCTCCTGTGCCAGGTAGGTGTATTTATGGGCGAGCTGAGGCTCAGCATTCCTGCTGGGGCCTCCAAGTCTGTTCCAAGTGAGGTGTTTTCAGTATGTGCAGGAGTGGGTCCAATGCACAGCCTTGTTGTGGCAAGGTCAGGTAAAGCCCCTGTTCCTGGGAGGAGCTGTGTGTGGATTTGGGTTTTATTCTCTCTGCCTGTCAGCTGTGATATACAGATCTTCAGATCTCTGCACTGTCCGTGTGTGTGAGGAACAGAGACTAAACAGAGACACTGTAAAACAAGGTCTAATATCAAATTACTGCGGAGTTTGATGAACATCTGAATTTCACCTCTGGAGGACGGTGACTCGCAGGAGAGACATCCTTAAAGGACACAGATGTTTGGTACGAACACCTTTATCTCCCAAGATGACTCAGGTTATTCTGACAGGTAAAACAAGATTGTGCAAATATGCAACAATGATCTAATCAGCTGGAACAACAGCAATATTTTAACTGGCGCTACCTTTTAACAGCATCATTAAGGGCTCTCATTACTCTTTTATTAGAGGCTCACTCTATTTCTTATCAGATTACAGAATGAACATAACTCATGGCACTGATTTGATCTCTTGTTAAAGAGGATTACAGCTTTGCATTAACTTGGATTGACACGGTTTATAATTTGCTGTTGATACACATGCTGGCGGTGTCACATGTTTGACCCCCTCCCCACAGCACCGCCGAGGAAAAGGACACCCATACATCATCATTAAACATGGCACCCAGTGCAGAACGGGAGGCAAAAGGAGCCTTTTCTGCAGGAAAGTCAGGCAGGACAAAGGAGACGTGTTCCCAAGTGCACGCCGAGATTCCGAGCGGGGATTTGTAACTGGGGGAAGGTGGGGAGGACGTGTCGGGTTTCCTACGGGTTGGTTTGTACCTCTGCAAATGGATCTTCGTTAGGGAGGAGGAATTTGCATCCTTTATGAGCCAAATTAGAGGGAAGAAGATGGCCCTGATGGGACTGTGTCAAACCAAGCAGTGTCACCACAATGTGGGAGCTGGGGAAGTTTTTTCCTGCTCTTCTGAGACCTTTCCGTGCTGTGTTTGCCCCCAGTTAGAGAACCCGTCCCTGCCTTCGGGCAGCACTGCTCATACACCTCGTGGGGTGAGCTCAGCCAGATCACCTGTTGGCCTGTGGTGGAAGTGACCTTTTTGTCCCTGGTTTGTAGGAACCCCTGGCATCTGCACCTCTGTGTCCTGGCTCCCTCCTTCCAGCTCCTGTGTCCTGCCCAGCCTTGTAGGGCTGCATTTCCCCGACACAGGGGGCTTTTTCTTTAGCAGATGGTCACAATTTTGTGTTTGACTTTGGAAGTGCAGACTTAATGCAGCAGAACTGGGCTCAGGGCAGGACTCACTTCTCGAAATCCCGTGGCCAAGTGCAAGAAGTGAATCCCCTGCCTCCACAGTCCCGTTGGCCTCAGGTCATGTGTGGCACAAGAGCATCCAGCCCACTCTTGCTCTTGCATGAGCCTGCTGGGAGGCTGAATTAACTCACAGATTATCCAGCTGCCAGAGAGGCTTGGATTAGAGCATTTCCCTTGGATCCAGCCAGGACGTTGTGTATTTTCCTGATCAGCATTCTCACTTCAGTGCAGTTGCTTTGTCACAGTGTGTCTCTGCAAACAGAGGGGGGTACGTAGTAGGAAATCCTGGTATTAAAAGATTAATTTACTTATATGACATAAGAGTTTAATAAAAAAAAAAAATTAAAAAAAAAAAGGTTGGTGAGATACCAGCCTTTAACTTCGCTCACTTTGTACTTTGGGTATTAAAACACCATGAGAGGGGATTAATGGAGGAATTTGGGCTCTGCGATTGTCAATCCAGCACCTTCACCACCACAGAATTCCTGAGAGGGAAGCAAAGCCCTTCTTTCTGGAACAACTAAACCAGTGGCTTCTGTGCTGCACGGCACAAACCTCGGTGTTGGTGTGAGAAAAGTGATTCTGAGTTTATTCAGGCACTGCCTGGAAGAAAGGCTGTCCTGCTTTGGCTTTGTTTTGGGAAACAAAGGGAGAGAGTATGAACATGGAGGGCAGTCTCGGAGTGTGCAGGGCTCTGATGTTTTAGAGAATTTGGGGGGTTTGTGGCACAAGGCTGTGGGTGGGAGGGGGAGTTTCCTGCCTGGGCTCTGGGGCTGCTGGAAGAACCTCCTCAGGAGAGAGGTGGGCTCTCTTGGGAGGGTGCTGTGTAACCTGCTGCACACCTGGGCTGGAGGAGAGCCTGAGACAGAAGCAAGAACATGTGTTGTTCCTATGAAACTAAACCTGCTTGGCCTCATCCAGAGGCACTGTGACTTTGGGATCACAGAATCCCAGAATGGTTTGGATTGGAAGGGACCTTAAAGCTCATGTCATTGCCCCTCCTGCCGTGGGCAGGGACACCTTCCACTAGCCCAGCTTGCCCAGAGCTCCATCCAACCCAGCCTTGGAATTTCTGCCCTTTGTGTCTCGTTTTGTTTGTTTTATTTAAAATCCCCCCGACCTTTGACTTGGCCTTCACCATCAGCTCTTGGAGGTGCAGTTTAACTCTCCACTTTAACCGGGGTGTCAGAAGGGCTGGTGTTTGCACAGGTTGTGTGTTTTCAGCTGGCAGGGTGAAGTGGTGACCCAGTGTGGATGGGCTGGAATCATCCTGTCCCAGCACTTGATTTCTGACATCCCTGTAAGGAGAGAGGCGCCTCTGGTATGGAAATTTCCTTTTTAAAGGGGGGAAAAAAAATAACCTGTTAAAGGGCTGCGAGATGATTTGTCGTCTTTCCTTTGTGAGACAATTTGTCTTCTCCTGCATCAAATCTGTTATAAAACAGGCAAGCTGTGAAAGAGGGAAATCATCCCAGGAATATGGGGCATTAAGGGGCACAAAGAATGGTCCCCTCCTGCTCTCCTGCACAGGGCATTTCCCATGCAGCATCAGAGGCTGCTCTGCTCAAATACCCATCCAAAAACTGACTGAGAGGGCATCTGATGTAATTCCTGGGGAAATTCCAGCTGCTGGAACACATACCAGAGGAGCAAGCTGGAGTTGCCTGCACATCCCTGTGTTTTGCTGCCTCTCCAGCCAATTTGCCCACATCTTTTATGCTTTGTGCTGTAAAAGCTCCTACGAAAATGCAACTGGGACCAAAGTCAGGATGAGAGAGGGTCCATCTGTGCTCCATCAGTGGTACCCTGAGCTCAAGGCTGGGGTGAGGGGAACGTTCAGAATTGGTGGCAGGGGCAGCAGGGATGAACCCCAGGTCTGGTTGTGTTTGGGGAATGGTACCTTGGGCACCAGCCCTCCATCTCTCTGCTGCCCTCCCACTCCACATTCCCAGATCCAGCCTCTCAAAACGTGCAGAGTCCCTTTGTTTAGGGCAAGAACCAGCTTTCTGAAACATTTATAAATCCTGTGCCTGCTCTCAGGAGACGAGCCAGAGGTCACATGTCACCTTCCATAATTCAAAGCCGTGGGGCTAAAAGCATTTGCACAGGCTCGGGGGAAGGGGGGGGGCCCGATCCTGACCCTCCTGGGCTGGAGGGAATTGCAGGAGACCTTTGTGAGCCCCCCTGGAGCGCGGGCAGGGGGGATGCAGCCGGAGCTGAGCACTCAGGGCTTGGGAAGGGAGTGAGTGCCATCTCGTGGGGCTGGACACAGAGCCCCGGGGCCCTCCCTGTGCCACTCCAGGGGGTCTGAGTCCTGCTTTTGGGATCCCCACGTCACCCAGCACCCCAAGGGCTTGTCCCCGCAGAGCCGGAGTGGGAAGGGGTGGGAATACAGAGCCAAACCCCACACCCAGCTGGTTTGGGGTTTGACTGGAAATTAAGGCTGCTTTAGCCTTTCTCTAGAAATTAAAAAAATAAATGGTCTCAGCTTGTTTTATCTTCCTGGTCTCTTTCCTGTTGCCTATAGGGTGCGTGTAGCAGCGATACCTGGGATTTGGAGGGGGGTAAAACCCACTGGGCATTTAGCACACCAAGCTCACCTGGAGTAGCCACTCCTTTTATTCCATTTTTTAAGAAAAAAAAAATCATTTTTACGAAAAATCATTTTAAAAAAATCATTAAGAAAAAAAAAAAGCTTCAGCTTTATTTTATCTTCCTGGTACCTGCCCAGCTTGCTGGACACTGAGTAACCTGAATTTCACACCACTGGACAAAACATTTCTTAGGGTACAGACAGAAAGTTTTCCAAGGAAACAATCTGCCAGCTTCAGTTTTCATCAGGAGTCGTGTGTTTTCCATTCTTTCGTGCTCCCTTTCTTCATGGGTGTTCATGTTCTGTCTTTTTCCAGTTTTTGTGAATTAAGAATTCATCGTTCCCAGTGGAGGAGTGGGTTATATAGTCATTTCAGTACTGCTTGTGGCATTTTCTAAATTATCTTTTTTTTTTGGGTAGAGGAAGAAGAAGTAAAAGGTACAAGGGAGAAGGCAGAGACATTGGTTGGAGGGTATTTTTACTAGAAGAGCACTATTGCCATTTTAATAATAATAAAAAAAAAGCCACCAGAAACTGAATTTTCCCCCATAATATTGTTCTTCTGTTAGTTCACAGAACTGTATTTAGAAAAATGACTATAATTACACAGAGTGGTACAATACTGGCTTTTCCCACGTGCAGGTACACATTTGGTTTCCCTTTGTACATTTGGTGGGCAAAGCACCTTCCTGGGGATCTGTTTAGAATTTTGAAGATTCATATAGATTTATGAAATGTGCTGTTGCAATTAATATTCACTCTGTGTGTGTTTCCTTGGTCTCTGTTGCAGGGATTTTGCCTATAAAATGTGTGTAGCAGCAATACCTGGGGTTTGGAGGGGGAGAAAAGCCCAGTGGGCATTTAGCACACCAGGCTCACCACCTGGAGTAGCTGCTCCTTTTATTTCATATTTTAAAACAATATTGTTGACCTGAAAAGCCCAGTTTTCGTGGTGGGGAGGTGACACAGTGCCTGTGCTGTCCCCTGGCTCTGGAGCCAGCTCAGAAGAAATGCATAAATAATTAAGCCAAGGTACTTACACACACATGTTTTATGGCAAATGGCTCCGTGGTCCGTGATCATTTTTTTCCAGAAACAGGTTTTATGATAATACAGTAAAAATATTAAATTAGAAAATGCCTCACTAAGGGTGATAAAACCTTACTACAGTGGAAATAGGTAATTATCCCCTCTACAGCCTAAATGACAGTTTAAAAGAAATAAAAATGTTAGTGCTCATTACTTGCTTTTGTAGGTTGCAATAAAGGGTAAGTTAAATTTTAATTCAAGGAAGACCCCTGTATCGACCTGCTTCTTCCACACTCCCCACCTGAGGTGTGAGTACTCTTAATTACCTGCACAGGTTATTCCTCAGCACATGCTGCCTCCAGACCCTCTTTGTGCTAAAGTCACCTTTCCTCCAGCTGCAGGTGACACACTTGCAGTGGGGTTGTTACAACTCAGTGGCTCAAGTCTGATGTTTCATATCTGTGGGTGGAGGAGAGAAATTTTATATTTTTTTAACCAAAAATCCAAGTTCATTATGCATAGCCTTAAGGGGGCTGAAAGTATTAAAATCTGCACTTACCCTGGTGAATTGAAACAGAGACAAGGTTAAACCTGGAGGATTGATGAGTTTTACTCTCTGCATGGTTGAATCCTGCTGAGGGGAGAGGCTGTAAAAGAAAGGGAGCCTGGATGATGAGAAGAGGGGGGGGGGAAAAAAAAGGTTGGGTTGTTTTATTATTTTATTTTTTCAGGGTGAAATGTTTGTTCTGTTTTGGGGGTGGTCTGGGGGTTACCTGATTTCCCTCCTCCTCCTGTCACTCTGCTGGGGTGTCTGTCCATGTTGTGTTATCCAAACAGCTCCACTTGGATTTCTGCTTCCTCAGAGGTTGCTGTGCCTGGGAGGATGAGGCTGTGGGGTGCAGGGGAGCCCCCTGTGCCCCCCAAAACCTGGAGTGTCCACGTCACAACCTGTCTGTGCTGGCAAACACTCCTCTGCCAGCAGAGACAAATCCTCACCTGAGATCTCCCCGGGCCCTGCTTGCCTGAAAAATGGCTGTTTGTTTAAAATCTGTGGGATTGGAGCAAATTCAGCATCTATCCCTGAACTCCTGTACCCACAGGACAGTGTCAAACTCACCAAAATGAGAAACCTGAGGAATTCTCCTTGGGTTCTCCTGCAGTGGGAAAGGCCAAGGCAGGCTGTAAAGGAACAGCACTCTGGGGTTTTGCCTGCAAACACAGCAGCTCTTGCTGTCTTTGGTGGTTTTTTTGGGGTCTCCCAGTGTGCACATGTTGTGTTTGAGCTTTCTCACATTGCTGGGGATGTAAGAAATGAGTGAACGTGTAAAGGAGAAGGGCCTGGAGACCTGGAGAGGGGAGCCTGTTCTGGAGAAAATCCCCTTTGGGTTTTCCAGAATGCCTTTAGGGTGGTTTGAGGCAATGGGATCACTTGGTTCTCACTCATAACCCTGGGGTTGTTACTGTTCTTGCAAGGGAAAATCCCACCCCCCCATGTAATCAACACCCTGCTCTGTGTGTGCAGCCCCTGACAAAAGGCTGCTGCTTCAGAAAATGCATTTATACAAAATAAGGCAGAAATACCTCTCCCCCAGCTCAGGTTACCCTGGTTCTAAAATTAAAGATAACACCAGCCCCACTTTTTTTTTTCCCTTTTTTTTTTTTAAAGGGAAATTTGCTCCTGTTATCACAATTGCTGCACGTGGGATATTAATTGGAATCTTGTTGCTGGGTCATTTTCATTGTTTTTCAAGTGCTGTCCAAGAAAATGTATGAAAACTAAATTACAGTCCCACGTAGGCTGTGATTGAATCCTCCTTACGGCTCCGTGGCCTCGTACATCCTATTAAAATATTCAATCTTGTTTTCTTACTTGAAGAGCCTGTCTGGAAAGGGCAAACTTATAGAAGCCCTCATTCTCTGGAGATACGAGATCCAGCCACGCTGAGATATTTACATATTTCTGTGCTGCCTGGGATTGGTCTCACACGAGTTTCCCCCCCCTCTGTATTTATTAATAAAGGTTGTTGAATGCGTTTTTAATTACACGAGGCCTTTTCATTTGGAGTGGCAGCCTCTTTTTCCCGTTTTGACCTTGAAAAGTAACTTTTCCCTCTCCCACCTTCCTTTTTTTTTTTTTATCCCCAGGACGGAGCTTTATCGTTCCCTGTTTGGAAAAATCACGAATGGTGAAGAGCTGGAGCAGAATTAGGATCAGGCCCCGGCTCCCGACGTCTCTTTGGCTCCCTGAGGCTGCCCAGGAGCAGGGCAAGGTCTCCCCAGCCTCTGGTCTGTCCCTAAAATCCTGCCTGAAGGAACATCAAACCTAAATCAGTGGGATGAGTGGGGACACTGAGCCTGGCTGAGCATCCCCCCTTTCCAGCTTCAGTGCTTCCTCCCACACACAACCCATTTTTAACTGTTCCCTTTAAATTCCTGACCTTGATTTTTTGCAATCTGGGCACAGTGCTGGGGGGAAGGGACACGATCCAGCCCAGCAGGGACCACCAGCCCCCCCATGTGGGTCCCCCACAGTTGTGTTAAACCCTCAGAGGTTTTGATTTGGGGGTTGAGGGGGGATTTAAATGCCCTGTTCTGGTCGTTGGCCACGGATTGGGAACGAGGGACTTTATTTTTCACCAAGAGGATTTAAATGTCATTTACATAATTAACATGGCCTTAAAACAGAGCAGGGGTGCTCTCCTGTGCTGGGAGCTCCCAGTTCACATTCCAGCTGTTGAATGACCACAGGGACATTTGCTGACCACACCACGGGGTATGTTGGGATATTGCTGCCGTAGGAACCTCCCGGGGAATTTTCCAGCCCTGCATTGATCCTGAACACTCAGTCCTTTCAGCTGGTCGTGACTCTGAGCCTTTGTGTCTTCACCATGGCCATGACACCCTGCTTAAGGGTGTCAGCACAATGTGAAACTGGGCAGAGATGACTCACCTGAGGGGTTCGTGGGGTTTTATACCCAAAGGTCAGAAGCAGGATATCAGATCCTGTGGGGAGAATTTGGGGTTCTGCTGTGATCAGTCCCAAACTGAGGTTATCTTCTGTGAATAACGTGTGTAGCAGGCATGGCTTGTCCCACAGAGCTGCCCTGTCCCTGGGTGGTGTTTTGGGTGATGTCATTAAAATGATTTGTAAACTGGTTGTCCCGGTGTGATCCGTGCAGGAACGGCCCCGCTGGCTCGGGGGTTCCACTCTGGTGTCCCCTTTCACAGAGATGGGGTGAAGCAGCCAACTGCCCCATTCCTGACCTTGAAAAAGCCAAGGGATTTGGGGGCTTTTCCCTGCATAAGTTTTTTTACCAGTTTTGCAATGGGTGACTGAATTTTACTTTTTTATTCTTTTTTCTTATTAAGCTTGAATAAAAATACATCCGTTTTTAAGGCTGTAACGGGTTAGATGGCAGGGAGGGGAGCCCCCCTCTGTGCTCTGTGCTGCCCCTGAGGGTGAGGCCCAGGGTGGAGCAGCAGGTGATCCCATTTTGCATCTCCTTGCAGTGATTCCCCCTTTTCCCTCACCTCCTGCTGTGCTGCTCCCCCAATCCTGCCTCTGCTTGGATGTGTTGCTCCACAGTTTTATCCCTCTTTTCCCTTAGCAGACTCTCTGTAGCCAAATTTTTGCACTTCACTGTGTCCCCAGAGCTGTCTGCAGCTGATATTAATTAATCCTTTTTGCACCTCATCATTACAGATTTAGTCTCCCTTTAGTCACCTGCTCCCAATAAACGTCTTCCCAACACCTCAGTGAGATGTGGAGCACAGAGTCCACCACAGCAAGGGAGACCAGCTCAGCTGCAGCTTGTGTGAAATCCTGGGTTAAAAACAGGACAAAAAAAGCTTCTCTTTCCCAGTTCCTCCCTGGTGCCAGGCTCAGCTCCCCCCGTGCCCTGTGGAAACATGTCTGGTTTTCCTGGGCTCCAGAAAGCAAGTGCCAAGGTGAGTATTGACTTTGGGTGTCTCATGGATGAATAAATCTCTTTGCTCTCTCACAGCAGAGCAGAGCTGCAGCTCCAGGGAAGTGCATCCATCTCCCCGCCCCTCCCAGCTCCAGTCCAGGTGGGAACACACGAAATGTCACCGCTGGCTCCTCACCGGGATTTGGGATCCCACTGCTGACCTCACCTACAGCAGAGCCCCACAGTGATGCCCATCACAGGCAAAGCACCGCCCAGGGCTGTGGGGAGAAGGGCCAAAGGGTCCTGGGCACAGGGAAGGGCTGATTTTCCAGTCCCCTGTACCAGGGGAGCAGCCCCATGTTCACTGGTGAGCTCAGCGTGGGCTGTCACTGGGCTGCTCCAGCACAGAGGGGCCTCCCCAGCTGTGGGCTCTCTGGATGTGACCATCTCCCATGGGAAATCCTGGCAGTGTCACGTCCTGTCCCCTCCATCCACTCCCTCTCAATTCCAGCTCCCCAACAACAGGTCCCGTGTGACCCCGAGCCATCCCAGCACCTCCGACCCCATGACCTGTCCCTGCACTGACCTGAGCAGCAGCAGAGCCCTGTGCTCCTCAACATGATTAAAATCTCAGGCTTTGATAACCACAGCTCTGAGAGGCATCAGGGGGAGGAAATCAGCTGCTTCCAGCGTGTCAGTGGGATGGCATCGGGCTGCTCATGCTGTCAGTGCCCAAATTAAGGGGGTTTAGCAGGAAGCCCCCTGTCCCTGCCCCGCTCAGGGTTTGTTTATCTGGGCTCTTTGTGGCTGCAGCTGTGCCACCCCCTTCCCGTTCGACTCCTGTGTCCTCTACAGCTGTAGCACCAGGGCACTCCGTGGGGTTTTTCTATTTTCAGTCTGGCTGTAATGTTAAAAGGGTAATATGAACCACTTTAAATGTGATAACTTCTCGTCGGTATTGTTTGAGGAGATAAGAGCCCAAGCCCCACTAAGCACGCTTTTGAATTCACTTATCAGTGTTTAAGCAGCCTGTTCCCCCCGTCCCCCCACCAGCACCTGGGTCGTGGTGACATGGGGAGAACCTGGGCTGGTGGATGAGGCCCCGTCCCAGCTCTGACCTTGCTGCTGAGGGCAGCCCTTGATTCGTGGCAGGAAAACAGGGCCCATGCCTGGATTTGAATATGCTGCAGGAAAAAGTGCAGCCTCGTGTAATCCCTGAGGAACCACCCATCAGAGCCAGGGACTTGCCTGTGGCCAGCGGTGGCTCCTCCCAGGGCCTGGGGACAGCAGGACGGTCTCTCCAGGGGTGCATGGACACAGGAGGAGGGTGGACTCTGCATTACCAGTATCCCCAGTCTGGCTCAGCTCCCCCAGTTCCTGGAAGCTCCGGAGTGTCCGACAGGGCCCGGTCAGAGCTCTCGGAGCTGTTCATGCAGACACAGATAACCAGGATGATTTCCACCAGGTTTTCCTAATGCTGCCAGTTAACAGCAAGTGAGATATCCCCCCCCAAAAAAAAAAAAGAATATTAATTCTTTATTAATTCATGATACAGCTGCTAATTAGTACCTCCACGAACGGGCACCACACCTCAGCCAAACACGGCGCAAACTCGGAGGCGTTTTGGGGCCCGGGGTGTGCGGAGGGAGGGACAGAGGGTTGTGTTAATCCTCTCCCCCCAACCCCGCCACGGCGAAGAATTTCAACTTTCAGACAAACAACTTCATTTACAAGTGTGTCTCTAATTAGCTGCAGAATTAGTAAAGCAGAGTTTTCCCCCCATAGATCGGCCAAAGCCCCGGGGGAGGCTCTGGAATGGAGAGAATCGCATTTCCAATTATTTTGTTGAATTGCTAATTTAGTTATTGTGCCTGGCGTAATTGTGATGGGTATTGGGTGTGCAATTCAATTTGTTTTAAATATTTGTGGGAAGGCTGATCAGTAATGGAGCTGACCTATTTCATGGCCCAAATTGAGAGAAGAGACTAAAACAAAAAACAGCTACAAAGCCCCAGTTTGTCTCAGTTTTTATTTTGATGTCTCTCATCCCTCTTAAGACTGTTGATGCAACAAAAGGTTTACATTAAAAGATGATGGCACTTTGATCTTGGGCTTTGGAGAGCTTACAGCTCTGGTACGTCTTTCCTTGGCATTTTAATATGTAGATATTTTAGGCTAAAGAGTTTTAAATGTGATTCTGGAGTTCAGCAGGGTCTGTCCCCTCACCACCCCCTATTTAACTATCAGGATTCTGGTTTGAGAAATGCATGAAAAACGAACTGCTGGAGTTGTGTTCACTCATGTGGGCAAATTTAACATCTCACCTTTAGTGTGGGGACCTCCCAAAAGGTGTTTGTTGAGCAGGTTCCCAGTGGACACCCTTCAGCCAAGGGTCCTGTGGGACTTTTCCCATGGGCTCCTGCTGAGCAGGTCACAGAATGACTGAGGTTGGAAAAGATCTTTAAGATCCTCGAGTCCAACTGTCCCTGGGAGAGGGTCCCTGAAGTTCTCCCACCACCTCAGCAGCAGCTGCCAGGGCTCAGTTTTCCCCTGTTTGTCCCAGTCACTGTGATGTTAAAGGTGACAGTAAATCATGGAGGAGGAACAGGACCTGCCCAAGGGCTCAGGTGAAGGGCACAGCCAAGGCCCTGAGGTGCTTCTGCTCCATCCTCCCACCAGACCTTGGGGGGTTCCACATAAACCCTCCCCATAAACATTTCCCCTGTTCTTGCCCCAAGGAAAGCAGAGCTCCCCCAGGGTGCCCAGGACAGGGGGTGACAGATTCCACTCCTGGCAACAGAGCTGTAATTCATTCTTTTTTATTAAAAGAAATTGAGGTAAGTGAAATACTTCAGCACCAGCGAGAACCGTATGGACCAAGGGGGGGTCTCCCCACCCAGTGACCGACCCACACACCTGGGGACAGCACAGGTGACCTGGGGACAGCACAGGTGATGGTGCTCTGGCAGGTCCAGACCCCCCCAGGACCCCCAGGGCTGGTGACAGACCCTGATGTCAGCCCAGCACTGATGTTACCCAACAGCTGGTTTTTTGGAGCTGCTTTACCCCCTAATTTAGTGGAGCCTGAGCCAGTGCTGGAACACTGGAACAGGGGGGGCTGCTCTGCACAGGCCTTGGCAGAGCAGCTCCAAAGGGTTTGGGGCAGTGGGCACTGGGACACTTCCCCTGACACCTGCAGGTGTCCTGGATAAGGGACTGACTGGTGACACCACCAGTA